TTTCTTTTCTAAAGTAGGTTTCGACATACAATAGGCCATTATTTTTTTTTTTTTTTTATGCGCGAATTTTTACAAAAAAAAAAAACAAAAAAAAAAAAAATAAAAATAAAAAAACAAAAATAAGTGAAATGATTGTTTCCTGTTTTTATTTTTTTTTGAGTAATCAAATGATGTGATTGATATTGGTTAAATCGTTTTATTTTCGAGCTCGTAAAATTTTTTTTCGCGTATGCGGTCCAAATATAAATTTTCAACAAATCTAAAAAAAAGTCATATTGATGATTTGTTTGTTCAAAGGGATTGTTGGCTAAACTGTTTATTTATTTGTATAAGCACACTTTTGTTTCAAAACGGATTATTACGGAGAAAATGATAGAAAATGTAAACCATTGAGATTATTTAAAGAAAAAAAAAAAAAATACGATCAGCCCAATTTTTCTGCACGTAATTTTCGGCTTTAGCTTCTTTTTTTTTTTTTATAAAGAAGTTTAGAAGATGACATTCAATGATTTGCAAGTCAATTACATCATCATATGAAAGAATCCATATTTATGGTTTATTATAAACTTTTAAGTTTGATTAGTTGCATCAAAATATTCTTTTTTTAGGATCATTAACCTTAAATTCATTTATAATTCCTAAAATTGGAATTTTATAATAAATATCCGAATTCGCGTATTTACTGTATATACTTGTATGTAGGGAAAAAAAAAAAAAATTTATACATCGGCGGCAAAAAAAAAAAAAGTAAAAATAAAATTGTTTACAAATACCTATATTATTATTATTGTTATTATTATTATTATTATTTTAAATTAAAAAACTTCCATCTCGACTGCTGCACGAATTTATCATCTAGCATCAGAACGCGCAAGATGAAATGATTTAATGAATCAGCATTTATTATATGATGTGCGATGCGCGCAAATTACGAAAAAAAAAAAAATATTTTTTCTTATGAACCTTCAGAACATAAAAATCATAATAAAAAAATCATTAAAATAGATAAACTACAAATGATTCGTTTTTGATGGCGTTTTTTGATTGTAGATTTGGTTGTACAAACCGTTGTGACTTTTTTGATTATTCAGAAAAAAATTGACTTTTTTGATCGTAGATCTCCGCAATGTAACACAAGGTCTAATTAATATATAATTTATATCGCGTCATGTAAAACGCGTTCTAAAGCTTTCTTTTTCTTACTTTCTTTTACAAAAAAAAAAAATGGAAACTTATGAAACTTATGAAAAACAAATCATATATAATGATGATAATTCTGTTAATTTATCTTTGGCCGTGCTGCAGAATGATACTTAGCTAATATATCATTATTACAAAATTATCGTTTAAAAAACCAAAGTAGGCAGGTTACTCCAAAACTTGTTAAAAATGGTATTTTAACTATAGAACGCACACAAGGAGCAATAGATTATTTAGAATGGACCACCACAGTCGAACTAAAAAATCTACAAATAGAATAGATGATATATTAGTTCTACCTACTAAAGAAGAAGACTTAGTTTCACAAATCAATTTATGAATAGAGAAAGATCAGCAGTGCTGGTATTGGGTAATGTACTGCTCTGGCGATGGGGGTATTTGTCAACATTTATGTGGTGGAATTGGAAAATGTTTAGAAACTTGTGATCATTATTTCTTACATAATAATCTAAAAAATGCAAATGAAATGTATTTATGCAGTGTTAGAGTTATTTCTGAATGTCGATTATCATGGTTATATTCAGAAACTCCACTACGCATTACTATTCAGGAAATTATCATCCATCTCAATATATGTTTAATATATAATTTCTCAAATTAATCTAACTTATTCTGTTAGAGAATCAATTGCTCTAAGTTGAAGAGCAGATCACAGAACAGCCAAAGGAATAAAAGCCAAATTATTAACTCCATTTAATGGTGCATTACAAGAAGTAATTGGTAAAGCATTAGCAAGTTAGCATGAAATTTGTGATAATGATAAACTTTGAAAACTTATTATAAGAGATAATAGAAAATTTAAAGATAATACTAGACCATAGATACAACTTAATAATTTGGTTAATGAATTATTAAAATCTTAGAGAAATAAATTATATTATCAGACACCAGATTAGATCAGCCAATTAAATCCTAAAAAATGAATGTAATTATAAAAATATTTGCATTGGTATTAATGGAAAATAGGATTTAAATACAAAACGTACTTCAGTATTATCAATTGTTTTTGAAAATGAAGCTGGTCATTATTTACCTCTAGCATTTGGTAATTATATTATAAAATAATAAAAATAAAATTATTTTAATAATTTAATTTATTTATATAAAAAATTTTTTTCAGTAACTTTAAGTAATAAAGAAAATAATCAAAATATAAAATTAGTAATTGAAGCTATTAAAAGAAATATCCCTTGTAATGATATATTATGTCAACATAAATAGTATTATGAAAACTTAATTTTAGAAAATGGATTTCAACGAGTTCGTAAATGTCAAAATAATAATTAAAAATCATATGCAATGATTGACAAACATAAATCATCAAAACTGACAATTCAAAATATACTATGCAGACCTATTTTATATTAGTTTCACATAATAAAAACTTATAGGAAAAATCTTTATATATATCTGTTCAATTCTGGTAAGGTATTTATAATTTGCATTGGCTTTTAAATTTATAAGGTATTGCTGAACTGAAACAGCTGCTATTAAATGATTAGATTATTTAATGAATTTATAAATTTATTATCTATTGAAAAAATGAAACAAAAAAATATTATTGATAATATGTCAAATAATTAGATATGTTTTGAATAGAGATTAAGTTTTATTGATGCAGGACACATCCTCATTTCTAATAATTTAACAAATCGTTTACCTTGGATCACAAATAATTTTACTGAATGTATAAATAGAATAATAAAAATAGTATATAGTGATAAACAAATACCATTATCATTTATTGAATACATATATATTGTAAAATTTAAAGTAATACCATTACTGATAATAGTAGATTAAATATATTTAAATCTAGTTTAGTTACATTGTTTAATATATAAGCTATTGAACAAGAGGTAATTTTTTATTATTTAAATCATTAATAACTTATACATAAACTAATTTATTTAATTTATTATCTACTATTTAAAATACTAAATCACATTTATACTCAAATAAATTATGAAAATTAAACCAAGAAAAATTGGATTTTCTTCTTGGTTTAGTATAAGAAATATTTATTTCTAATATTTTTTTATTAAAAAATTATGTAATGAACTATTTATACCTTTTTATAATTACAAATCTATGAATATAGATGATCAAATTATAAGAAAACTCAAAAATATGATTAATCTTCTTTTAAAATCCTTATTATTAAAAAATATAGAATTTAATTCTAAATTTTATTTATGTAATATTAGTACTAGAGAATATATATATTAGAAATACATTTAAAATAGTTCTTTATAAAATATTATTATGCAGTTACCTTATTCAAATATGCAATGAAAAAAAAATTTATAAACATTATAGATAAAATAAAGTATAAATTAGTTTAATATTTTCAAAATAAAGAATATATTATTCCTTCATCTGCTAAAAATAACATTATTTATCAAGATACAATAGAAAATTCTTTTCAAAAAAATAGTTTAATTATATGAAATTTATAGTAATATATTATATTAATTTAATAATGGTTATAATTATTAAATTAAATTAACCTTTATTTTAATAGAAAATAAAATTTTTATATAACAAATTATTTAATTTAAAATATTAAAGATCCATTTAGACTATTAGAATTAAATGATAAATCAAGGTTAAAAATAGGAGTACCACTAAAATTATCTTCCAAATCAAAAAACTTAATAGATTTAATCCATACAAAAAAATTATCAAAACATACTTATAATATTAAACAAAATTATAATTCATTTAGTAAATTTTATTAATTTTATAATTAATATTTATTAAAATATTTTAATTTATAATTAATAATATTAATATTTATTTTAAATATAAATAATCAACAAAATAACGTGACTATTATAGATAATTGTGATTTTCAAAATCTTTTTCAACCATTAATTATTTATAATAATATTGATTCTTAGTATAATAATGTGATAGTATATAAAATTTGTGTCCATATTATGATAAGGAATTACCTAATATTTTACCAGAAAAACTATAAATCAAATTTTTTCCTTGAAAAACAAACCTATCAAAATATAATTGTTATTTATTTTGTATTATACATCATGTTAAGTTACATATTATTTTAAATAGTTTATTAAAGAGTATCCAGAATTTATTAATTTTAATCAATTAGTTTCACATATTCAAATATTTAAAAATAAACGTTTAGAAATTATCAATGAAAACTTAGCAAATTTTTACTGATAAATGGCCCTTTCAATTTATCAAGAAATTAAATATAATAAGGCTAAATTACCAATGATATTTTTTAATAGATATGAGATATTTCAGATATTAATATCAAAATTAATTTTTTTATATTAAATTGTTTTAAAAAACTTTATTAAACTATATTAATTTATAAATTGAATATTATAAATTTAAAGAATTATATTTTATTACTAATGCTTTGGTAGATTTATTCATTATTTTAAATATTCTTATATCACTTAAAGCATTTCAATAGTTTATATATATAAAGTTTTGATATCAGAAATGACAAGCAGATTAATTCAAGAAGATTACAATAATAATATAACTCTAAAAAATGCAAAAGAAATCATAGTTGAAAGTATAGAATTTAGAGAATATTTGCATTGTGATAATGATATATGATGTTTTACTTGAAATTATAAAATTCATTAGATTAAAATACCAGTAATAGTCTATAGAGTATAAATATAATATTTTTTTTTTTTATATCAATATGTATGACTAAAGCTGAGCTAACTCTGCAGGCTAACTTATATTATCATGATTATTAATCCCAGATCAATGTATGTGATTTTTCAATGGTTTGTTATTACTTATTATCTTATTATTCTGTTTAAACTTACATCTTTTTTTGTTTCATGTTTGCTAATAAACAGTCCAAAAAGATCAGAAACCAGTGCTATTGTCCTTTATATATGTTGGTCATTGCAGATCCTTGGATTTGCCTTCTCAGAGGTATCTATATCGACAAAGTAATAATAGAACCACTAACGGACTTCATTTCTCTTATACCTAAACTGGGAGATGATAGTCAAGTGAGCCAAATTGCTCAATTCCTAGCGGCTCTGAATTTTGCTATGAACAGGCTCAACAATTATTATCAAAATTTGCAATTAAATAATGATGGCCCAAATGATCAGCATTATTTCCCCTATTTTTCAACTTATCAAGACAAGAATAACAATCGAATCAGGTTCAAATATATCCATCCGCTGACCGAGGACTTTCAAAGACCTATTTGGAAGGCTAAAGCTAACAACCATTCAATTGTCATCAAGTTTGCTCGAAGATATAGTGTAAAGGCACACAATATATGCGCTGAGCTAAGACTTGCTCCAAACTTGTTATACAGTAAAAACCCTCAAAACAGATTCATGATTATTGTTATGGATTATGTTGATGGAGATCAATTAACAACACAAAAAATCAACACTATGTCACATAACATTGCAAAATCGTCATGAAGAATATGGAAAAAGTGGTTGCAGCCTTGCGATTCTTGTAGATTTTGATTGGTGTGGAAAACATAGTATTGATAGATACCCTGTTACAATAAGTACTAAGATACCTTAGCCCCAAGGTGCAAATCCTGGTGCTTTACTCATGCAAGCGCATGATGCTCACCGGCTTCAGGTGATAAATCATGATCTGAATTTATAATTAGGAAAAAAATCAATCTAAAGGAAAAGACAGGTTTTATTTTATATGAGCAACTATAAAGGTATAGCAAACAATGTAATTAATAAATTTCGGCTATGGGTTATGTTGCACTGATACTGTGGTGGGTAACATTCTATGAAGTAAAATTATGAAGTAAAATTTAATATGTATTGCTGTTGTATTAAATAAAGGTTTCTAGATGCTAAATAGACGCTTATAGTTATCAAGGTTTTTTTTTGTGATTTTTTATTGTGTGCGGTGTAACTGATCTGAAATTAATGCGCAGTTCATTGATCGTGCTGAAACGATTACCGTATTATTCAGAGGATTAAATCCTTTTTCGCGTTGATACCAAAATTAAGCCAAGACGAAATCGACCATATACAGTATAAATACTGTAGCTATTGACTTAGTTTCAAAAAACGAATCAAAGGTTAACGCATTGATAATTGAAAACACATTTCTTAGTATAGTAAGTTTTCAAAGTCGACCTTTTCAAATTTTTTTTTTTTTTTAAAAAAATCGAATAATTTGCTTTTCCTTTTTAGCCGAAATTGGTTCCACATATACTACCACTACTACAATATTTAACATTTATGTGTTCACAAATTTGGCCATCCGAAAAATTGATAAAAAAGATTAAGTTTATACCAATATTACTTTTATCCGGGACAAGAGATGAAGTTATACCACAACAACATATGAAAAAATTATTTGAATTATCCCAACCAGTGGCGGTAAAGAATGGAGAGAATTTTTATATGGTAGTCATAATGAGACCATTTTTCAACCCGGTTACTTTCAATTTGTTGGTAAATTTTTAAAAAAGCATGTTGATTTAGATAGGAATTAAGGAAGGAATCATTTAGTAATGTATATTGTATATTGTACTGTACAAGTAAATTTGTATATTTTGAATTAATAGAGATTGTTTAACGTAAATAAAAAAAAAATTCATTTTCTTCGTTACACAATGGGAAATGGAAATCGCGAATGATTCGTTTTTGCGTTTTTTGATTATATAAGTTGGTTTGATTATTCAGAAAAAAAATTGTGACTTTTTTGATTATTTAAAAATGTAAATGTGATCGTAGATCTCTGCAATGTAACAATTCTTATTTGACATAAATTGACTTGTACATGAAAGGTAATAAACATTTTTATGTCCCAATAAAATAAAAAAAGATGAAGGCACAAAAAAAAATTCTCAATATCATCATGTAAAAACATTTATAAAAAAAACACTTGTTTGAACCATATAATATTGTAATGCTACTTTATAATAAGAGATTTATTTGTATACGACCTGCCCTATTGAATGCTTTGGTGAACTTGTTTCTCAAAACTTTTTGTATGCATGCATAATATCACCATGAGAAACTTTAGGGATAATGTTATGACAAAGAATATTGAGAGTAGAATCAAAAAAAAAAAAGGGTATCACAAATAGGAACATTACAATATGATATTGAAACAAGAAGAATATTGTATCAACTAATACATACGAATTTCAACGATCTCACAAGATTTGTTTGGCTGAAAACCTTTCTCTCTATCATCTTAAAATAATAATTTATACAGTATATATGAAATAATAGTAAGAAATGGTCGTATCATGAAACTAGGCAGTTATCAAACGTTGTGCAGGAAGCTATACTATTTTCTTTTTTTTGATTTTGGGGCACAGACTGATGATTTAAAGAGCACAAATTGGAGAGTTTCCCATTGATTGATAAAGTGCATAATTAATATAGTTTGAATTAGCACAAATAATTAATATACATCTCTATTTTTTTTTTTTAGATTAGATTAGTAATAAATGACTCGAATACACGAAATATTATTTTGAAATGAATTTATACTGATCACATATATAGGTTCATTTTATAATAGAACAAATGTTAAAAGCAAATATTTTTTTCACATGTATTAAAAAATCGGTGTGATAAGTTTTTACTCGATGATACATAAAGGAATTTCATCTTCCTATAAAATTTCATCTTCCTATAAATCCAAATAAAAACCTTTGCAATAGAAAAGGGGGAAAAATAAAAAATGAATTTATGCTAAATCTGAACATAATTTGACCTAAAAATCATTATTTGGCATATAAAAGTAAATTGATTTTTCCGCAAAGAAAAAAAACCATTTGTGGGGAGACTTTGTCTAATTTAATTTACTGTTACTTGGATCACGAACCTATAGGATCGCGTGACGAATTCCGCGGAATATTATACTGATCGACACAATCCTTTTCATGTTATTCAAATTTGAGATGATATTAGTTCGTTGTTCATAATGTTATTATGACTCGAGTGACTGGAAATCAGGAAAATGGAAATAAGGAAACCGAAACTTCCTCGTCGTACGATCAGCTTCAACAGCAACTTACGACACTTGGCTACAATGAGACTTTTACTTCCGAGTCTATTTCGCTTATTCAAGAACTTCTCGGTGACTTTCTTGTCACTGCAGAGAAATGTCGACTATTAAAATCACAATATCAAAAGGTTGAAAGAGAGAAATGGAAGTTACAATGCCAGGTTAATTTCGTATTACGCGTGCCCTTTCTCTTTTAAAAACTATCAGTTTGATAAATATTTCATAATTTTTTTTATAGACCGAGCCTCTTCGACGTACACTTGTTTCTCTCACGAAAGAAAATAATCAGCTTCGCGTTGAATTAATTCATGCAGCTGACACTCATGATAAAGAACATGTAAAAACCAATAATCTTATTCGAAAGTATGAGAGAGAAATCTCCGAGTTGAAATTTTTAAATTTGCAGTACAAACTTCGAGCTCAACAACTAGAATCAAAATTTGAAAGCGAAAGAAAAAAAATCGAGGAATTGTTGAACTTTTATGAGGAAATTTGCATTGCAGTAGGAAAAGGTAAGGATCGCATATGTCAATGTTTCTGTGAAAAAAGATCAATGACTTGACACATTTGGTTTCAAAGAAACTGGTGAAAATGTATTAGAACCCGTTCTTGAATACCTTGGCTTAGAAGAACCTTTAGGTTAGTTCCATTCGTTATTATCATTTTTAATAAAAGATTTTGAAAGTGAAGGTTTTTAATTTATACGTTAGTTTGTTTTATAAGATCCTATGGAAGACAAATTCGACATCTTTGTACAACCAGATCCTCATGTAGTGGACAGTATACAACTTAGTCAAAAGAGAATTGAAGAACTTGAACGATCAAATAAAGAATTGTCGGATAAAGAAAATTATCTTCAGGAACAGGTGATTTTTAGCAATTGGTCATTTATTTAAAGAATAAAAAATTGTGATTTTAAAGATTTATCGTTAATTTTCCATTTAAATTAGATTTCGAGCCTCGAGCAAAGATTATTGTCGCGTGAGAAAGAAATAGCGCGTTTCGGAACTTTATTGATTAATAAACGTTCCGGATTAACCAGTGGCTCTCCTACTGATGCATCAAATTCAAAGCTTCAACAACTTGAGACTCAATTGGAATATTTGCATGATCACGTCATTGGATTAGAACAGGTATACATGTTCAGACCATTTGGACTATGCTGACGTGAATTGGAACCGATTATCGATCAGCATGAATAATAAGTTATTGATCACCTCATCTAATAATTATGTGCGTGATATATATAATTAACTCTGTGAGAATTTTGATATGTTATATATACACTTACAGGATATAGCGAAACTTGAACAAGAAAAAGCAATCCTCGCTGAACAGGCAGAAGAAGAGAGACAGGAACCTTCGGTCAACAACGGGTCGGAAATCTCAACTCAACAATGAAAAATTGTAACACTTGAAAATTTTATTCTTTAAGATGAATACTATTAAATTAACCATCAGATTTTTCAAAAAAGAATATCTACAAAGGCGTTTAAATTTAGAATTTTATATGATTGACCCATTCAAATCAAGTGCATCGAAATTTTATTGGTTAATGTTATGATAATTTGGGCCACAATTATAATAATTCAGTGCCGGCCAATTTATCATAATTAATTATATTTGGAAAATTATTAGACATTTCAATTTGAAGAAATTAAACCTTTTTTTAGCCAATAACTTTCTTTTTTAATTTTGTTTACACTTTTAAAATGTCATGTAAAACCAATAAATTAATAAATATCAAGAAAATAAAGCTATTAAGTTTTTTAAAAATAAAGAAAATCATCATATTTTTAAACCAATAGAAGCCATTCTAAAAAAATCTTACTAAAGAATAGATGAAAAGATAAAGTAATTAAAAAAATAATAAAGATAAGATTGTTAAAATTAATAGAATATAAAAATATTAAAAATGATTTTAAAATATTTGAAAAAATAAAAAAAATTTATTAAAGTTCTTTATTAATATAAAAATAATATAAATAGCATTAAAGTAATATATTATAAACATTTAAAATAATATTATAGAAAAAAAATGAAAATATTAAATTAGAAAAAATATGTTAATAAATATAATATTACATAATTAAATTATTATAATTAATTAATTTTGAAACCAATAATCTGATTTTAAATTTAAATATTATTTAATTTGAAACTTTTTAAAAAATTTTATTATATACAATTTTTTTAATAAAATACTTTAATAATCAAAATTAATATAATAAAATTATAATTATTTATTATATTTTATAATATAAATATAATTACTTATATATTAAAATGTATTTTTTTTTTTTTAACATTTTATAAAAGTAATCCTGTTTCAGTAAAGAAAACATAATTTTCTTATTTAAGAAGATTTACTAAAATTATATAATTGTTTTTTGTAAAAATATTAATTATATCTTTATAATAA